TGTCCCTTGCATTGGGCAAAACAAAAGGGGCCAAATGACTTCAACATGTGTGAGAGGACATCCTGTTCCTAAGAAGTCAGTGCTGTACTACAGCCACAGTATTTTAATTTGTATTTATAATTGACACATGATAATTGTATATATTTATGGGCTACAATGTGATGTTTCGATGCATGTATACATAGTATAATGATCAAACTGGGGTAGTCAGTTACAGTTAGGCAGGAAGAATAAGTTTGGTGTTCTATTACACAGTAGGGTGACTTACAGCAAATAACAATGTATTGTATAGTTCAAGATAACTAACAGAATAGGCTGTGAATGTTGCCACCACACAAAAATGATAAATGCAGCTAAAAAGTTTTACAGCCTGCAGCTGTAACCCAAAGGAGTAGGGCAGAACGACTCACACCTCATCAGAATCCAAGAGGCAATAAGAAACTCTCATGATAGTCTCCTGTTAGATACGGAGGCGAGTGAGAAATGGTGTGGTTAACAGCTGCTCAGAGACTTGCCATGCTCTCATGCTCAAGCAAGACCAAAAAGGTATTATTTCAAGATTTAGATGAGCAGGGGTTCAACCTTTGCCTTCATGGCCTATGTGAATACATGCAAAGATGTTAGGGTGCTAGAAAGGAGCTGTATCCCTCCCCCCAAAACTATGCTATGTATTTTAGTCTTTTGACACATGAAAGGTACTAGCTGCTGCTGCTGCTTCTCTTTTTTTTTTTTTTTTTTTTTTGAGATGGGGGTCTCACTCTGTCACCCAGGTTGGAATGCAGTGTTGTGATCACAGCTCACTGAAGCCTCTAATTCCTGGGCTCAAGCAATCCTCCTGCCTTAGGATCCCAAGTAGCTGGAACTGCAGGTGTGCACCAAATGCCAGGCTGAGGTGTTTTTGTTGTTGTTGTTGTTGTTGTTGTTGGTTGGTTGGTTGTTTTTCGCAGAGATGGAGGTCTATTTTGGCCAGGCTGGTCTCTGATTCCTGGCCTCAAGCAATCCTCTCACCTGAGCCTCCCTAACTGCTGGGATCACAGGCATGAGCCACTGCGCCTGGCTAACTTCTGAAGTCACTGCTTCAACAACTTTAAAACCATACCAATAGACTGAGGATTTCCAGAATTTTTTAAATTGAGAAGCAGATGGATTCATGAGACCGCTAACCCAAAATCCATCAGAACAAGAGTTAATCATATATGATTGAATTATCTGATGAGGGATTCTTGTCGTTTTTTTAACATTGTTGATGTTGTTCTATATTCTGGACATATAACGCAGCCTTGTCTTTCTTACATATCTCTAACCCATAACAATTGAGTAGACTTGGCATTCATAAACTGAAACAAAACATTTGCAAATTATCTTTTTCTCTCTGATACCCCCACCCTCTGTAGAATTCACAAATTTGAATTAGATACTCTATTTTTCATGGTAATATAGTGATCTATACAGGTTCAATAAGAACTTGTCCTCCTTTTAAACAGGATATATTAATAATTGGCAAATTTTGTTATGCAAATAAGGCCTTGTCTGAAATATCATATTTGAGAATGATGCTCACTTAATCAAGTATAAACCAGCTACAGTTAGAGAAATAAGGTTTAAACTAGAGAGCCCACTGAGGAAAACCGACTTAGTACCTGGCTTTCAGGGTCCCAGCTTTACAGGTGAGAAACGAAGGCCAGGACCTTTGAGATAGTTTGATAATCTCTAGAAGAAAGAATTGGCCCAAATTTTATATAGTGCAGGTGAAATCCAGTGAGAAAAGTTTCTTGAGTTTCCTTTATAGCCTCAGGATGAGCAAATAATAAGAGGATTTTAAAAATCCAGTGTGAAAAATCCACAGCTAACATAAAATTCAATGGTGAAAGCCTGGAAGTTTTTCCTTTAAGATCAGGAACAAGACACCTGCATTCAAACTAATATTGGAAGTTCTAGATGAAGCAATTACATGAATAAAAAGAATCATTCAAGTTATAAAGAAAGTAAAATTATTTCTGTTCACAGGTGACATTACCTAGTTTGTAGAAAAATTTAAGGATTCCACAAAAGAACTGTTCGAACTAATAAATTCAGCAATGTTGTAGGATACAAAACCAACACATAAAAATCAGTAGCATTTTTATACACTAACAATGAACAACCCAAAAAGGAAATTAAGAAAATAATTCTATTTGCAATAGCATCAAAAAGAATATAATAATTAGGAATAAACTTAACTAAGGAGGCAAAAGACATCTGCACTCAGAACTACAAAATGTCGATGAAAGAAAATTTAAAAGACAGAAATAAATGGAAATGCATTCTGTGTTCATGGATTGAAAGACTTAATATTGTTAAGATGTCAGTATTAATCAAAGTGATCTATAGATTCAATCACTATCAAAATCCCAATGATGCAATGATATTTTTTGCAGGAATAGAAAAATGCATCCTAAAATTCATATGGAATCTCAAGGGATACTGAATAACTAAAACAACCTTGAGAAAGAAGAACAAAGTTGGAGGTCTCACACTACCAGATTTTAAAACTTACCAAAACTCTACAGTAATCAAAATAGTATGGTGCTGGCATTAAGGACAGACAAATAAACTAATGAGATAGAATAGAGCCTAGAAATAAACTCTCACATATATGATAATTGATTTTTGACAAGGTTGCCAAGACCATTCCATGAGGGAAAGGACAGTCTTTTCAATGAATATGTGAGGAAAACTGAATATCCACATGTCAAAGAATGAAGTTAGATACTTCCCTTACACCATATACAAAAATAAACTCAAAATAGATCAAAGCCCTAAGTGTAAATCTAAAACTATCAAACTTTTAGAAGAAAACATAGGGGGGAACCTTCATGCCATTAGATTTGGCAATGATTTCTTGAATAACAAAAGCACAGGCAACAAAAAATAGATAAATTGGATTTTATCAAAATAAAAACCTTCTGTGCATCAAAGGATACTATCAACATGGTGAAAATGCAATCCATGCAATGGGAGAAAATATTTGCAAATCATATATCTCATAAGGGACTAATATTTAGAATATATAAAGAACTCCTACAACTCAACAATAAAAAAATAATCCAATTAAAAACCCGGCAAAGGACCTGAATGACTATTACTCCAAAGGAGATATACAGATTGCCAATAAGTACACGAAAAGATGCTCAACACCACTAATTAGTAAGGAAATGCAAACCAAACCACACAATGAGATACCACTTCACATCCATTAGGATGGCTACTATATGAGAAAAAACAAAAATAAAAACAGAAAATAACAAGTATTGGCAAGGATGCAGAGAAACTGGAACCCTTGTGCATTGCTGATGGAAATGTAGAATGGTACAGCCACTGTGGAAAATAGCACGGCAATTCCTCAAAAAATTAAACATATAATTAATATATGATCCATTAATTCCACTTTGAGTACATACCCAAAAGAATTGAAAACAGGAGCATGAATAGATATTGTATGCCAATGGTCAATAACAGCATTATTCACAATAGCCAAGAGATGGAAACAACCCAAGTGTCCACCAAGGGATGAATAAATAAATAAAATGTGATATAGACATACAGTGGAATATTATTTAACCTTAGAAAGGAATAGAATTCTGATACATGCTATAACATCGATGAACCTTGAAGACATTATGCTAAGTGATATAAGTCAGACACAAAAAACAAATATTGTATGATTCCATTTATATGGGGTACCTAGAATAGTCAAATTCATAGAGACAGAAAGTAGAATGGTGGTTACCAGGGACTGGGGTTGTGGGGGGAATGGGAGGTTGTCGTTTAATGGGTACAGCTTCAGTTTGGGAAGATGAAAAAGTCTGGAGACAGATGGTGATAACGGTTGCACAACAATGTGAATATATTTAATGTCACTAAACTGTACACCAAAAATTATTTATATGGTAAATTTTATGTTATATATATTTTTAATACAGTAAAAAAGTCCAATGTGATCATCATTATGAAAACTCTTAGCAATGAATACTAAAGAAGGACTATATAGTAAATTAGGATTTCTGCTGTATCTGTGTAAATAAACAAGCCAAATCTAATGAGTTCAGCCTTATTTTGTGGTCAAGAATAACCATACTTTGAAATTAAAGTTTATCAAAAATAGAAAAGCTATAGGAAAAAATGTTCTTCAAAGGAAAATTGTGTGTTATCTATAGTACACCCTTCTGGGTTGTTTGATTCTGATTCTATAGGAGCAATTTTATAGGTCTGTACGCTTTTAGTTACTTAAAGAAATGGAAATAATTCCAGTCTATAATATGCAAATGAATTTTGTATGGTGAAAGTATGGAAAAGAATGGCCTTCCTCTCTTGTGGCAAAACCCCGAGAAAGAGGCTATTTTCAGTTTAAAAATAATGAAGCTTTACAATTTCATGTAGTCATATCTGTTAATATTTATTATATTAAATAGTAAAACAGAAATTTTTAATATATTTATATTAATTCATTTTAAACTTACAATAAAATATCCATTACATCCTGTAAACTTACATTGTAAATTTATATGAAAAATGTGTTTTCTAAAACAAGTCATAAGGAGATGGACTTTTTTATTTGAAAATCTCTTTAATATTTATTCTAATGAAAGTCTGCTGAATTCTTATATATGTTCCTGCAATTAATCTGTTGGATATAATATATAAGGTATCTCTGGAAAATTTCAGCATATATTTGTGAGGGAATGAGAATGAAAAATGTAGATAACATCTTACAGGTCCCATGAATGGCTGACCTACAAAAATAACTAAAAGAACTGACTCATTAGTAAAGTGGTATAATGCAACATTATTAAGTATAACCCACTATTTTATTTTTTAAACAAATTGGACCATAGATACATTAAACTAAAATTGATAATATTTAGTTTGTTGTAACAAAAAAAGAAGATGTTTTAAAATTAGCAGGACATCACACTTCAAGAACTAAAGTAGATTCAACATTACTGGAATATGGTTCTTACCTTTGGTTTTGAATACAGTGTGCTTGTGGATATCCCCAGACAGCATCGGGCTCAGGTGATCTGGATGTCTCTGGAGGTGATAGTGGAGCACTCAGTGTAGCAACCAGGCAGCCAGCCTTGGTGGTGATGTGCTCAAAGATGTCGATAAGAAAATCATTCATGATGCCCAAGGAATTTAATGTAGCACTGATATCAGGATGAAATTGCTTCAGAACCCTGTAAACATAGATGTAAATATAGACAGTTACTCAACTGTCTCCACAGCATCTCTTTTCACATCTTCCCCTTCTGTGTTTTGGAAATGACTTTCTTAAAGCCCTTTATGTTAAAGTAAGATTTAGAAGGATGCTCAGCCATGACAGACATTGTTTTCAGTACCTTGGAATGAAAGAGATACTGGTTGGTGACAGGGTGGTGCCCATATATAGGCCCTGTATTCAAATGAAGTACTGGGTACACACACAATTTCTAATTAGATGAAATGTAATTCGAGGAAACCCTGCCAATAAACCACACAATGGCAAATATGATTCAATAGTTCTATGTGGTACAGTCCAATGAGAAGGCATGAAATGGTCAGTCTCACTGAAAGCTTCCTGTAGGCTCCACCAAGAGCACTTGGAAGATACCATCTACAGCAGCTAAACTGTAACAATTTCAGCTTCAACTTGTTGAGTGATTCTGATCTCCATAACCCAGATCCGTGATGCCAGAGGAATGATGCTGGCCATGTTTGGGCTATTTGTCCACTAACCCAGAATCTAATGTCACCTTAGGCTAAGCCACTGTGGCTTGAGCAAGAATCCTCCCACATGGGAGAGGAGCTTGTGGAAAACAAGAGATCTGGCTAACAAACCACTGCCTCTAATTCTGAGCAAAAACCTCAGTGACTCAAGGAAAGATGACAAAACTATGGTCTCCAAACAACACACACAAAAAAAACAGGAATATTTATTAACATGTAAAATATTCATAAGCATTAAACAAGTTAAAAATCACTTTCTTGACAATACTTAAGTCCTAGAAACATACTTTAAACTGTATAATTTGTGGATAAATATCAGTGTTCTTGGCTGAAAAAAGTCACTAAACATCTAACTAACCTCCTTAGGGAAAAGAGAGAAATAATGTAGGAAATATTATTCAATGGAAATAATATCTCTTTCAAATATCTATGATAATACAACTGAAAATATTGATTGAATGTATAAATTTGTGGAAAATATAAATTACAGAAACTAAACCCACTCTCCTCCCCACAAAAGAGATTTAAGGACTAAGAAGAATGGAAGAAATCGAGGTCACCAATGAGCTACCATCCCAAAACGCCAGGCTTCCAAAAGCATTTCATGTCAAACCACTAAGGAACAGGTGTTTTTTTCTCTTAATGGAATAGTGTCAGATTATGAAGGGAAAAAATATCATTTTGATGTAAAGAAAATATGCTAAAAGGAGTTCTGACCAGTGACATTTATAAACAAGAATATAAAATCCTACATAAAATATTAGCAATTATATCTGGCATCATAGTGAATGATGAACACAAAGGGACAAAGCAGGGTTCATCCAAAAATATAAAGACGTTCCAGTAAAATACAAGTATGATTCACCTTATGATGTTAAAGGAAAAAAGGGTAATCTTCAGTTAATCTCAGTACATGATTTAACTTCCTTTGCTAATATAATGAGTTATACAATGTTTGTTTCATGGCAAATACTAGCATTACCATCATTAGAGTCAGGATTCAGAAAAATTGAGCCCTCTCATCAAGACTGTTATTTATCATGATTTGGTGTATTAGAAAAAATCTTATAAAAGGACTTAAAAAAGGATTTTACTGCAGAGGAGACCTGGAAAAACTACAATAAAATCATCTGCAAGTAAACTGCCCAAAGAGGCACCACATGATTGACTTACACATTTGGAACGACATTTTGGGAAACCAAGGCTCTTTTCAGAGCCATGTGTGGCTTGAAAAGAAAGGCTTTCTCTTTCAGAGAAAGAGCTGTGGACATATTTGTAAAAAAAACATTTCATTAAGTCACTTAATTTATATCATGCTGCTTCAAAATGCCAGTGTCTGTCAGCATGCCATACAAATGTTTTACCAAAATTATTCTAGCACATTGGTCTCATATACATTGTATTATGCAAAAAGGCATTTTTAATATATCATATCCATGAAGACAGTTATAGTGTTTTTGCCATTTTCCTCTTGTAAATTCAGAAAGTAAATAGAAACATTAGTGAAAGAACATTAAAAATGCGTTATAATTTGGCTGAGAGTGCAGGGGTGATTGAGACAGATGAATCTGGTAAGTAGAGAAAAAAACAGGGCTTGATGCTGAAAGGCTAGATGGGACAATGAGTACATCTGATTATTAACCTGATGGGTGCATGACGAACAAGGAGATTAAGTGAACAAGAGTGCTCTAATTCTTTGTTTAAAAAAAAAAAAAAAAAAAAGACTACAGGAAACAGCTTTAACTGCTGTAAATAATGTACTATAAGCAGGACTCCTGGGGAAACAGTGTTACTGGAATAAAAATATCACAAGCTTTTTTTGAATCCACGTTAATACATAATGAAAACAAACAAAAAGCACAGAAATATATATCAAAAACTTCAAGAAACAATCCAATCCCCTTGCCAAGCTCTCTGGACTCTGAAATTTTTATTCTATTTCATTGAGGTTTATTCAATTCTGTTCTTTCCCAGTCAAAAGTCTTTTTAAAAATCACAAATCTTAATGAGCTGCAATTATGCAAGATTTGGAATGATGTGAGCATTCAGTGAGTGCAGCTCATACCCCACTCTCTGCTGGGTCAGCCAATGTAGGATCCGCAGCCCCTGAGCTATTGGCCCAGAGTATGGGGAGGTGACCCTGCTGAACCAATAAGAGCCTTCCTGGGATGTTCAGTCTTGAATGTTGAAGAGGAAACTGGTGTGGCTCTTTGCTTAGGTTTGGTTGCTTTATTGTCTAATCTTTTGCTTCCATTCATGGAGATTTAAGGATATAAATTCAGGGCTAGTAGTCGTGGACATAATTCTTGCCTCCTACATCATGTTAGTCCATTTATGCTGCTAAATACCTGATATTGGGTAATTTATAAGGAACAGAAAGTTATTTCTCACAATTCAGGGGGCACCAGCAAGTTTGGTATCTAGTTGAGGGATCAGGTTCTGCTTCCAAGAAAGCATCTTGTTGCTGCATCCTCATTTGGAGGAAAGTGTAGGGACGAAAGGGGCCTAGGCAGTTCTCTCCAGCCCTTTTATAAAGTCGCTTATCCTGTTCATGAGGGCAGTGCCCTCATAGCCTAATCACCTGCTAGGGCCTCCACCTCTTAATACCATTACATTGGATATTAAGTTTCGACATGAATTTTGGAGTAGACGCAAACATTCAAACCATAGCATATGGCAACTGATTAAGAAAAATAATGTCACACACACACACAAGCTAAATGAATGTTATCTTATTTTTTTCACTTCCAAGCACATATGCCTGAAAATAAAACCCACCACGTCAACTCAGAAGGATGAAATCCCAGCTCCCAGTGCAGCCACCAATACAATGGGTTTGGTCCTTATTCCTGGCCCCTTATTGCCCACCTTCTCTTTGATCCTGGCCTGTTACTACTGGACAAGAGGAGAATAAGGATGGTGTGAGGAGGAGAAAGTTTGAAAAAGTAGCCACTCTTTCCCTTTATTTTGAGGGACTTTAAAAACAAATCTAGGGTCATAGGCAGGTTTTGCCCAGTCCCTGAGGAGGACATTAGGGAAACATGAGAGCACCCAGACTTCTCTTTAGTGGGTCATCAGTCCAGTCCTTGCATGCTGACCTGTGGTCCATCTGAGAGATGTGATAGGCCAGCCCTGCCCCTCACGGCTTCTACCATTACTAAGTAATACCAAAACCCATCCATAATTTAACTACCTCTGCTTCCAAGATCTTCCTACACAGAGGTAAGTGTGAACAACATCAGCCTTTGGAGGTTGAAACTAGGCAGGGACCATATGGCTTTGGGTGGACCTGATACTTGACCAGATATTTTGTCATGCACTATCAGCAATCTTGTTTTAAGAATAAATAATATGCATAGTCATTGCACTTGTTAAAATAATTGTGAACAGTGAATTCTGTCCCTTCTAGTAACTGAGAGTCCTTTCCCAGATGGGATCTTCCCACAGAGCTGAAGGACCTTACCCATGGCCGGGTAGGTTTTGGGTTAGGTCTGACACCAGAACCCAGGACGATCTCCTGAATTTCACTCCAGCGTCTGCTCTATCAGACATGGCATTAGACTTAGTGTTTGAGCCTATCAGAGACTCATAGAAACTGTGCCCCTCTACATTAACCTGCTTGACAAGAAATACGTTAAAATAAAATCTAAATGCTATGTTGATTTGCTTGATCTCCCTCAATATTCACTTGGGTAATTAATTCAAATTAAAATGTGTAAGCACATTTTTCTCTTAACAAACTCCAACAACTGGGGATATCAGCAATCATGCTGAATTCCAGGGGCTGCTTCTGCTTTTCACTGTCTTTGAATTTCTTCTTGTGGCCTCAAACCTGAACCCATTTTCAACTCCATAGGTATGTGGCTTTGTAGACAGAAGGGTGATAGAGGGATTACAATGGAAGTATCAGTGCTATATATGTGTTTTTATCCCATGTTGCTTGAAGCTGTAATTTGTTCATTTTCATTTCTGTGTTGTAATGCATTATAGGACTATAACACTATTCTTATGTTGATGAACATTTGCATTGCTTTATGTTTTGTACTTAATGATCAATCTTGTTCACATCTTTTGGTGGACATAAAAACTCATTTCTGTTGCATATATACCAGGAGTGCAACTGCTGAGTCAGAGCATACATGAATGTTTAACCTTAGTAAATACTGACAGTTTTTCAAAGCGCTTTTTCAATTCATAGTTCCAGCCAGAATGTATATGTGGGTTCTAGTTACTCTGTATCCTTACCAACTCTCCACATTATTTGTCTTTCAACTATTATACTCCCATTTCACAGATGGGCTAATCCCTGGGCCTAGAAGAGGTTACTTTTCTAAAGTAAATACTAAGTCTGAATTCTATATTCTTTCCACTGTGCCAGGTTATCAACTTTTAGATATGAGTTTCCAGTACTCAAGTAGTGGTTGTTCCAAAATTACACAGGATAATACTTTTGTAACTTTAAAATTATATG